CGCGGAAGGAGTCCGGTACATGCTGCTGTACATGGCGGCCGCCGCGGCCGCCGCCGCCGTGCTGCCGTCCACCGAGCCCAGCAAGCTCGGGTGGTAGAAGTAGGGCGACGGGAACATCCGCTGCAGGGCCGAGTAGTTGCCGGCCTCGGCCAGCAGCTCCAAGCCCACCGCCGTCTGGCGCTTCCACTTGGTCCTGTGGGCCCAAACGCAACGTGAGGCCGGGCGCAAATCAACACGGAAATAATAACGATACAACAAATTGAATTAAAAAAAAAAAAAAAAGACACACACAGAGGCTTCGGCATACGGATTTGGAAATACGGGCCAAATATGGGCATCCGGTATGGCATCGGTGTCAAACTCCGGTCCTGGAGGGCCGATTTCCTGCATGTTTTCCAAGTCTCCCTGTTTGCAACACACCTGATTCAAATGAACAGGTTCAATGTCAGGCTTCCGCAGAGCTTGCTGATGATCTGATCATTTGAATCGGTTGTGTTGCAACAGGGAGACTTGGAAAACATGCAAGACAGCGGCCCTCCGGGACCTGAGTTTGACACCTATGCGGTATGTAATTTGAATTTTGTTGTTGTTGTTGTTGTCTTTTAATCTGCGTGATAAATTGGGGGGGGGGGTGCTTACTCAAGAAAAAAGATCCAGTCCACCATGCGATTAGGTCATTTTGAGCCCACCCCACCAAAAAAATATTGATGATGAGTGACTGATAATAAAAGGGAAAAAATATTTAATTAGTGTCACTTTAATACTAATGAAAAGTTCCCAAATACCTGCATGCGAGCCATATATGGGCATGTACACAGTGCACCGTAAAATTTGATAGCTTATGGATGGAAACAAATATTTTTGTTTTGCATAGAAAAATGCAAGATGAATTGTGGGAGGAAAATAGTTGCTTTTAATACACAATAGAGAGAGAAAAAAAGCTTCAAAATCAGCTGGAATCAACTTCCGGCATGTGGGTCAAATGTGGGCAGAAATCCAGTACGCTGTGCAATTCAATATTTTTTATTTTAAAAAAAAATAATATTCATGACGTATTGTCAGTGGTAATGGGCATAAAATGCTTATTGTCGTTTTGGAAAAGTTCCTAAATCACTGGTGGCTCACTTTCGGTGTTCGGGCCATATATGGGCATGTACAATATCGATTGTGAAATTTTATAACGTATGGATTAAAAAAAGTTTTGGTGTCCATAGTTAAATGTGCGTGGTAGGGATAATTCATTTCACATAAGGGGGGAAGACTTCAAATTTAGGTGTGTCCAAATAAGTGCAAACACATGGCTCATGTGGGATTTGGGCTTTGTGCGGGTGGGGGGGGGGCGTTTTCTTTTTCAGTGTGCATGATGAATTTTTAAAAAAAATGCTCATGTCATTTTCTTTTTAACAAAAGCTAAATCAGTGAAGGTCAACGTCTTGGGTGTGGGCCATATATGGGCATGCAACCGATCGACCGTGGGAATGAACTTTTTTTGGCAGTGGCGGGGGGGGGGGGGGTTGTTTGTCTTTTTTTTCTGTACGATGAATTGGGGGAGATGCTTTCATTGTCATTTTCAGTGAAAATTTTGTCAATCATTGGTGGCCAACCTGTGTGTGTGTGTGTGTGTGTGTGTGTGTGTGTGTGTGTGTGTGTGTGTGGAGTGGGGGGGGGGAGCGTCATATTTGGGCATACATCCTGTCCACCGACATTTTTCTAATGTGCACAATGAATTTAAAAAAGAGCTTGTTATTAGTTCCACGCCCCCCTCCAAAGAAGCTTCAATCACGGGTGGTCAACTTTCGGATGTGGGCCATATATGGGCAAAATATCCAGTCCAACATGCAAGACCCCCCCCCTCCCTCAAACCTCGAAATATTTAATGTGGATAATGATTGATCATTTTGGCTATAATCACAGAGATAATGATAAAAATGCGGTGTTCTGAAAAAAAAAAGCTTGTGTGGTTAATTTCCAGTTGCCAGTGGGAAAACCAACCAGGCATAAAAACACATTTTGCCTTCTCGAGGAAATCATGAAAACGCTCATAATATAAAAAAAGTCATAAAATGGAGCGTGGGATTGAAAAAGAAGCCCTTGAACGAAGCTGCGCCTCGGATGAAATCCAGATTTGCATTTTCAGCTGCATGAGGTGGATCGTTTTGTTCTGCAAATCAATTCCGTCTCCAAGAAGAGTTAATGGCCGATTAGGAAAATAACAACTCATCATGTCATCATAGTAGCAGTAGGAACGACAGCTGGCATGTCGACGATTTTGTTGTCTCGAATTTGCACGATACAAGCCACGTTTCCGCCACCGGTAACTTCATTGTGCATTCATCACCGCAATTTGGGGAATTGTGCATGTGGGCAAGCCGTCAATTCAAGTGAGAAGAGCGAGAAGGATATTTTGGGCGTTCTCGTGGAATTGGTCCATCTTTGAAAGCCTGTTGGGGGGGGTTAGCTACGGAATATCTTCCACTCTGCATAACAATAACGGACATTGGAATTAATCGTGTCGTCTTTAAAAAAAAAAAAAAAAAAAAAGAGACATAAATAGCATCGATCCGAATCCGGCGTCAACACAGATTGAAAGCTACTTCCCCACAATCAATCACTGGGCATCATCAATCGTCCGAACTTTCACGTCTTGTCGCCAAAACAAGTTTAGTGCAGAGAAGAAGAAAAATTCAATCAATTTTTTTTTTTTTTTTTTTGGTGACATTCAAGCCCCCCCCCCCTCCCACGCCGCGCGAGTTGGCGTACCGTCTGTTCTGGTACCAGGTCTTGACCTGCGTGTCGGTGAGGTTGAGGGCGGCCGCCAGGTCCATGCGGTCCTGCACGCTCAGGTACTTCTGTCGCTCGAAGCTGCGCTCCAGCTGGTTGAGCTGGTGGTCGGTGAAGGCCGTGCGCGCCTTGCGGGGCTTCTTGGTGCGCGCCGGCGGGCTGTCTCGGCTGCTCGAGATCTCGCGCTCGCCCTCCTCCTTGCTCCCTGCACGCACGCCGACCACAACATCAGCGGCAGGCCATGAAAACTTCTGGGGCGGGCTTTCAGG